TCCCAGAAGGTGGTTTCTAAAAGGTGTCATTCTCTCGTGATGAATTTATCAAACACTATAATCAATCTATATGAAGTAGTTAACAGTGAGCATTGCACTCCAAACACAAACTACAGAATTATTACAGAATCACGTTGACTGGTTTGGAGTTTAGTTTTGTCGAAGTGACATTTTTTTCTCTTTTTAAAAATTTTTTATTACAATAGATGACTTCTCGAGTAAGGAAGGTGAAGAATACACTCAGTGACGGAGGTGATATTAGCATATATACAAAACACATATTTTAGATATGATATAATATGCATATATAATTTGAATAATTTTAGAGGCTCATAGTATTTAACACTGGAAGAAACTTTATAAGTAATTCAGTCTGAACTCTTCATTTTACAGAGAGGGAAATGGAGGCACAAAGAGAGGTAAATTGCCTAATATCACAAAAGTATTAAGCAGGAAAGCCAGGCTTCAAAACAAGGCTTTCTGACTCCAAACCCTGTGCTCTTACAGAGCTCCTTTTAATCAAGTCAACTAAATAAAGACTTATTAAATGCCTACCCTATCTATAAGAAACAGCTTACATTCTGCTGGTGGGTGGGTGCAGGAGAGACACCCCTCTTAAAAAGATAAATAAAAGGCAATTTGAAAAGGAAAAGAGTACTAACAAATAGGGGACTTATCAAAGTATTTAAAAATCTAAGGCCTTGAAAAAAGCACTGATTTTTCCACCACGCATTTGCAACATTTTACAGCTGAACAAATTTGTGTATGGCAGAGCAGGGCAGCAGTAAACCAGCCAGTATCAAAATTTTCAGCTGAAAAGAGAAACACTGTTCTAATCACCCACCACCTAATTGAGCAATTAGCTTCATTAAACTCACCTTTCATTTCCATGACTCTTAAATTGGAGCTTTTTAATCTCTATGGCACACGGAAAAGGATGCGTTTTTAATATTTTAGGCAACTGAACTAAGAAACTTCCATTATTTCAGATACGATTTCAATTGTGTCTGTGGATACATTTCAAAGAAAAATGGGCTGGTTGGTAAATGTTTTGAAAGGACCTCCCCAAGAAAAGAGTAGATTGGTCACTTATTCCAGACCATTCCAACCCTTCCAAAAAAGGAACTATGTATCTGACATAAGACAATTACAGCTGAACCCACAGAACAATTACTAAGTTAACTCCCTAAGAATAAACACTGGGGGGACTTTAAAGCATTTTCTCAGCACTCTTTCTCCCCACCTCCCCCATCAGACTCACAGTGACTCACAGGCTTATCCCTGGGGCTCATCTTGGGACCCTCCCTGCTGCAGAAACTCCATTTGCACACCTCCCACAGAGTGGATAGAACTTACCCTGTGTCTCAAATCCTGTAGTCCATGTGTACCCCCTGCCATCCCATGATCACTCTCCTTCCCAATGGCTATGCCATCTCATCTCTGAGTCCATGTTCTACCCCCTCTATAAGCAGTACTAATTCTGCCCAGATAGGTAAGGAGGAATGGGCAGGGGGACTATTTCTATCTATTGTTACTTCGACTGGGAATTTGTAATTCTGAGTGTGAGTCACCAACATAAAACAGGGCCATAACCTAAAAAGACAATAACATAGAAACTGCTTAGAAGATGGAGCTCAAAACCAATACATCAAAAGTTTTAACTCTGTAAGACAAAAATGAAAGAAGGAATAAATAATAGTACATACAATGAATCAGGAAATAATTTTTAATTTTTTTCCTTTGAAAAGATACTTGAACTTGAAAAATGCCAGCCAAGTTTTTTTTCCATTTACATAGAATAAAATAAAGAAGGTTGTACATGAAAAGACAAATCTGTATTACATTTAATTTTTAAGGATGTGATGCATACCACACTTTAGTTTTAAAGCTATTCCAATTGTCTTTTGTTCTGTGTGAACCTCTTTATATTCAGTGTTGTGCACTCTTTTTAAGGCTTCTTTGACACTCTTTTTTAAAAAATATAATTTTCATTACCCCCTTCCCCCAATTCTCTCCTCGCATCAATTTTTAAAAATCTATTCTTATAACTAATGAGCATAGTCAACCAAAGCACATCCATCTATTTGCCATGTCCCAAATATATATGTCACTCTTCACCTCTATTCCATCACCTCTTTTATCAAGCGATGAGAAACATATTTCATTATTGGTCATCTGCAGTTTTGACTCAACATTGCATTGGCCAGAATTCTTAAGTCTTTCAAAGTTGTCTTCCTTTATGATGCAGTCATTGCGTAAATTTTTCTCCTGCTTTTGCTCATTTCATTCTGTATCAATGCATCAAACACACAGGTTTCTAAATCTGTCCCTTTCATACTTTCTTACTGAACAATAAAATTTTATTAGATTCATACATCATAATTTATTTGCCTGTTTCCCAAATGGAGAAGTTAAAGGTCATGCAAAGATAATTCTCAAAATTAGAAAAGTATGCTATTGGGGGCAGCTAGGTGGTGCAGTGGATAGAGCACCAACCCTGAAGTCAGGAGGACCTGTGTTCAACTCCGGCCTCAGACTAAACACTTAACACTTACTAGCTGTGTGACCCTGGGCAAGTCACTTAACCCCAATTGCCTAAAAGAAAAAAAAATGTAAAAAAAAAAAGAAAAGAAAAGAAAAGCATGCTATTAACAAAAATATTTTAGAAATGCTCCAAATAATCAATAATAAGAGAGTGCTCCCAACATTTTTTTTTTTTACCAAACAGGGAGTCTTTTGTGAATATGTTCGAATCTTTGGGTTTATCAAAAAACTATTTTACTATTATGTTCATTTCCTTCTGTTTCTTGTGCTCTTACTCCGTCCCACGGATCATTTTCTATTTTTTTAACTAAGAGTTTTGATGATTACTGATCTGTAGTATACTTTGAGATCTAATAATGCTAATCCTTATTCCTTCTCTCGATCTTTTTTATTTTTACCATTGAAAATTTTGATCTTTTGTTCCTGCAGATGAATTGTGTTTTCTTTTTTTTTTTTTTCTGGCTCTGTAAAATAACTCTTAATGGGCTGACTGCAGTGGTACAGAATAAGTAAATTAATTTAGGTGATATCACCAGTTTTATTGTTGTACTGGCAGGGCCAAACTGTCAATTCAGATTTTTAAGATTGTCTTTATTTCTGTAAAAAAGTATTTTTTAGTTAAATTCATATAATTTCTCTCTATGTAATGGTAAGTGGACATAATAAATTTTATACTTATTTCAAATGAAATTTCTTGTAGAGTTTTGCTGGTAAATATGCAAAAGGCTAATGATATTCATGAGTTTATTTTATATCTTGCTACTCTGCCAAATTGTTGTTTTATTGTTTTTATTATTGTTTTATTTAATTATTGTTTTATTTTTTAAATATTTTAGATGAATTTCTAATGCTCCCTAAGGAGACTATCACATCATTTACATAGTTATTATTATTATTATTTTCTCTGCCTGTTTTTATTCCTTAAATTTCTTTTTCTTGATTTATTGATATGGCTAGCATTTCTGGAACTATATCAAATAGTAGTAATGGTAATAGACATCCTTGCTTTACCCAATTTTATTGGAAAGGCTTCTAGTAATTTGCCATTGCATATAATGCTCACTCTTGGTTTTAGATCAATACTATTTATTCTATTAAGAAAATTTCCTTTTTATTATGCTTTTAAAATGTTTTTCTTAACAGAAATAGATGTTGTATTTATCAAATCTTTTCTACAGCTATTAATGTAATCATACAGTTTTTATTATTTTGTTATTAATATGGTATATTATGTTCATAGTTTTCCTGATATTGAAAAAAACCCTACATTCCTGGTATAAATCAACCTGATTATAATGTTTAATTATTTTTATATTTTGTTATATCCACATTGCTAATATTTTATTCAGTATTTTTACATAGATATTCATTAGGGATACTGGGTTATCATTTTCTTTCTCTGCTTTGTCTCTCCATGGTTTAGGTATCAAGACCATATTTGTATCATAAAAAATTTTGGAAGGAACCCTTAGTTTATGTAACATTAGAATTAAAATTTTTCTTTGAATATTTGATAGAATTGACTTATAAATCCATCTTGTAGTTATATTTTCTCTGCTTTGGGAATTCATTTATGCCTTATTCAATTTTTTTCCTGAGACTCTATGTAAATTTGCTGTTTCTTATTCTGTTCATTTGCAAATTTTGTTTTTGTATATATTTATCCATTTCATTTAGATCAATGTTGATAACAAACATCAAACAAAATAGTTTCTAATAATTTCTTTTAATATTTCATATTGCAAATATATTGTGAATTCTCCTTTTCATTTTTATATTGATCATTTGGTTTTCCTCTCACTTTTTTCAAGAATCAGATTAGCCAAGTTTATCCATTTTATTAGTTATTTCCCAAAAACCATTTCTAGTTTTTTAATCAATTCTTTATCAATTTTTATCAATTTATCACTTTTTTCTTTAATTTTATTAATCTCATCTTTGATTTTTAGAATTTAGATTTTTGTACGGGAGGTTTTTTATTTGTTATTTCTGTAGTTGTATGTCCAATGCACTGATCTGTTCTTTTCTCTTTTTTGATGAAAATGCTTAAAGATATTAATTTTCCCCTTAAGACTGATTTGGCTGCATTTCAAAACTTATGGGATGTTGTCTCTTGTCATCCTCTTTGATGAAATGATCTATTGTTTCTGTGATTTGTTCCTTGAGCCACCAATTCTTTAGGATTAAATTATTTAGCCTATGTTCAAGTTCAAATCCTTTCTCCAAAGACCCTTGATTGATTGGAATTTTTATGATAAAGTTAGTAAATGATGTCTTTATTATTTCTGCTTTTTAAAAATTTATGGTAAATTTTCATAAAAGTGGCATGTACGTGTGAGGATATGCATAGTCCTTTCTATTCCCATTCAGTCATCAGAATTCTATATAACTTTTCTAAAGCTCTATTTGGGTCCTTAACTTCTTTCTTGGTTATTTATTTATTTTTGCTAGATTCATCTAGATCTAAAAAGGGTACACTGAGGAGCTGCTAGCTGATGCAGTGGATAGGGCACTAGGCCTGCAGTCAAGAAGACCTGAGTTCGAATCTGGTGTCAGATATTTATTAACGGTGTGACCCTGGGTAATTCACTCAACTTCTGTTTGCCTCAGTTTTCTCATCTGCAAATGAGAATAATAACAGCATCTACCTCTAAGGATTATTGTAAGGCTCAAATGAGATAATAATTATAAAGTGTTTTCCATAGTGCTTGGCACATAGTAAGTATTATATAATGTTAACTATTGAGGTCCCTATCAGTTTTGCTGTTTCTTTCTCCTTGTAATTCAATCTTTATTAACTGTTCCTTTAAACTCCTTTATGTTCTATGACATTTGGTGTATGTATGTGTATATGGATATACTTATGTGTATGTGTATATATATGTTGTATGTGTGTGTATGTACAATGCAGATATATGTATATATAAACAAATATACACACACACATATATATACATACATATAGTTCTGATATTACTTCAGTATCTATACCTTAAAGTGTAATGTAATTTTCCTATCTATTTTAACAATGTCTGTTTTTTAATGTTATTTTGTCAAAGATTATGATTGCTATTTCTTTTTTGAATTCAATGGAAGCATAATAAATTCTGCTCTTGCTCTTCATATCAACACTGTGTAAGTCTTTACAATTCGTGTGTTTCTTGTATACATGATCTTGCATCCATACTGTTATCTTTTTTCCATTTTACAGGTGGGTTCATATTCAGTGCAATGAGTGCTAATTGTGTATTTCCCTTCATTATTTTGTCCCCTGCCCCCTCTTTATAAAGAAGGAGAAGGTAGAGGAAGAAAAGGAATGTGATCAACACTAGTGATTTATTTCCACCAAACTGCTTCTCCTCTCTAACCCTTAGCCAGACTTCAATTGCTCATTCCTACTCTTTCTTTTTTCCTTCCTTCTTTCTTTCTCTATCTCTCCTCTCCTTTCTTTCTCCTTTTTCTCTTTCTTTCTTTCTCTACCTCTCTCCTCCATCCTCTCCTTTTTTCTTTCTCTCTCCTCTCTCTTCTCTTTTTTCTTTTTTCTTTCCTCTACTCTTTTTTCTTTCTACTCCTCTTCTCCTCTTTCTTTTTTCTTTTTCTTCCTCTTCCTCTTTTTCTCTATTTCTTTCTCTTTTTCTCCTTCATCTCTCCTCCTTTTCTCTCTATGACATTTTTCTTCCTTCCTTCCATTTTTCTTTCTTTGCCTTTCTTTCTCTGTCTTTCACTCTCTTTTTTTCTTTCCATTAAGTCTTCCCTTTATGATCCACCCTCCAAAATTCACATTTGTTTTTTGTGTAATTATTCCCCTCTCATTTCTTCCCTCCCTTTTAAACCCCTTTGTCCCTTTTTCCTGTCCTTGCCTGTTACCCTGTTGAGTTTAATATACTACTACACCAAACTTCTTGTATGTTTGCATGTATATGTACTTTATTTTTATGTGTTTGCATATGTGGTTGAACATAGATGTCCTTTGTTTGGTTCAGATGACAGTGAGATTTATTTGGTGCCATTCTTCCTTACCCCTTCTCTCCATTTTTGTATGGCTCCCCAACCTTCTTCCTCATTTGCTTCCCCAGTGTATTCATTTGTCCCAAGAAATAAAATTTCACAACAGAAAGAAAAAAAAAACTTCTTTGGCACAGAAAACTAACAAACATATGAAGTTGCCAGGAAGGAGGAGAAATTCTGAAAAGAGGAGAGAAAAGAGACAAAAGAAGGAAAGAAAAAGATAATGAAAACATTTTTAAAAAAGAAAAGTAAATCATTAATAATAATAATAACCCCCAAACAAGAAGGAACAGGGTGAGCAAATGGAAATGAAAAAAGTGAGAGAAAAGAAAGGCTTTGGGAAAAGTTACATCAAATTAATTTAAGCAAGACTAATCATGGAGACAACAACTAAAATATTAGAGAAACAAACCGAGGACAACACAAATCTAAGTCTCTTAACTTTATGTATAAATGGACTAAATGAGCCAACAAAATGAAAGAGAGGGGTAGAAAGGATAAGCAAACAAAACTCCACAATCTGTTGTTTACAAGAAGGACATCTAAAAAGCATATACACAGAGCACCGGCCCTGGAGTCAGGGGGACCTGAGTTCAAATCCAGTCTCAGACCAGACACTTGACACTTATTAGCTGTGTGACCCTGGGCAAGTTACTTAACCCCAATTGCCTCGCCACCCCCCAAAAAAAACAACAAAAAGCATACACACACAGAATCAAAATGAGAGGCTGGAACAAAATTTACCATGTATCAGATGAATCCAAAAAGCAGGAGTTGCAATCATGCTAGCAGACAAAGCAAAAATAAAAATTCATAGTATCAATAGAGACAAACAAGGAAATTATATTATACTTAAAGGAAAAATAGATAATGAACCAATATCAATATTATACATATGTACCAAATGGCATAGCATTATACATAATGGAAAAGTTAAGTGAATTACAAAAACACCTACTAACACTAAAATCGAAGGAGACTACTCTTATTTGCTCAGAGCTGGACAAATCTAGCAAAGGTAAAAAAAGAGAAAAAATGGAACTACACTTTGATAATTTAGACTAAAAAATTATGACAACAACTGAATGAGAATATTAAAGATATACATATTTCTCAACAACACACAGTACATTTATTAAAAAAAAAAAGACCATGTGCTAGGGCACAGAAAAATTATAAATGTAAAAAAGATATACTAAATACACATCCTTAATGACCTTAATGTAATAAAAAATAGTAATCAATATAGAAAGCCCAAGTAAAAGACATAGACCTAAATAAAGGCTTAATAATGAAAGTCTGAACAATGAGAAGGTCAAAGAACAAATCATAGAAATAATTAATAACTATGTGAAGGACAATAATAATGATGAGACAACATACCAAAATGTCTGGGTTACAGCTAAAGCGGTCCTCAGAGGAAAAATTATATCCCTAAAAACATAAGTTAACAAAATAGAAAAAGTGAGGATTAACTGAATACGTAAATTTAAAAATTAGAAAACCAATAAATAATTAAATCCAAAATAAGTATGAAAGAGGAAATCTTCACAGTTAGAGGAGAAATAGATAAATCAGAAACTTGCACTGATAAATAAAACTAAGAGATGTTTTGTTTTGTTTTAAAAGGCTAACAATGTTGATAAATGTTTAGGTGAGCTGATTAAAAAGAAGAGGACAATCAAATGAACAAAATTAAAATGAACCCAGAATAAATAAAAAGAATTATCAGAACCTACTATAAAGTTATGTACCAGTAATACTGAGAATTCAAAAGAAATAGAAAATTAAATACAAGAATGTAAAATACCCAAATTAATAGAATGCCAAATAGAGGTTTTTTTTTCTTTCTGTTCTGAAATTTTCTTTCTTGGGACAAATGAATACACTGAGGAATAGAGATCTTAAATAATCCAATTTCATAAAAGGTAACTGAACTGGCCATAAGGAAATGACTAAACAGTGGTGGGGAGGGTGTGGAGGTGGGGAACAATTCAGGTAGATTTACAGGACTCTATCAGACTTTTAAAAAATAACAATACCAATCTCTCCTCTCCTCTTTCTCTCTTTTCCTTTCTTTCTCTTTCTTACCAATTATTCACAAAAATCTACCAAACTGCTTTTATGAGGTAAATACAGTCTTAATTCCGAAACCAGGGAAAGATAAAAGAAGAGAAAACTGCACACCAATACAATTAAACATAAGTATTTTTTTAACATGATAAAAAGTAAATAAAGGGGCAGCTAGGTAGTGCAATGGATACAGTGCCCAGGCCCAGAGTCAGCAAGAATCATCTTCCTGAATTCATATCTGGCCTCAGATACTTGCTAACTGTGTGACACTGGACAAGTCACTTAACCCTATTTGCCTCAGTTTCCTCATCTGTAAAATGAAGTGGAGAAGGAAATGGAAAACCACTCCAGTATCTTTGCCATGAAAACCACAAAGAGCCAGACACAACTGAAACAACTGAACAACAATAACAACAACATTGCATACAGGTTTAAAAAAATTGAAAAGAAGATCAGTAGAACAGGCTAAACAGGGCAAAATCAGAAATTATTAAACTTAGTAACCCAGCACACAATGAACCCAGAAACAAAGTCCTTAGGAAAGAACTCCCTATTTGAAAAGAATTCTGGGAAAACCAGAAAGCAGCCTGGCAGAAATTACTTTAAGTATTTTTCACCATATGCCATGACAACTTCAAAATGTATAAGCAAAGTAACGATTAAAAATCATGTGATCAAAACAGAAGAAAACCAGATCAGATACCTTTATCAAATATTGTTGATGTTATCCAGATACATATATATATATACACACACATCTATATATTTACACACATATATACATATATATACACATACATATATACACAAATATGTATGTACACACACATATATATATATATATATACACACATATACACAACTAGCAGAAATATTTGTGACCAAAATTAATTACCGAAGAGAAGCATATGAACAAGTAGTCCTCAAAAGAAGAACTGAGGGGCAGCTAGGTGGAGCAGTGGATAGAGCACCAGACCTGAAATCAGGAGTACCTGAGTTCAAATCCAGCCTCAGACCAAACACTTGACACTTACTAGCTGTGTCACCCTGGGCAAGTCACTTAACCCCAATTGCCAAAAAAAAAAAAGAACTGAAAACAAGGCAGTCATGAAAAAATGCTCCAAATCACTAATAATCAGAGAAATGATTAGCCAAAAGCTTAGAGACAAAGTAGATACCTATTGATTTAGGATTGGTTAAACAAACTGCAGTACATGAATGTAACTGAAACACCGTGAAGAAACAATGAATATGATGGATTCAGAGAAGCATGGGAAGGCATGAACTGATGCAAATTTAAATAAGCAAGAAAACACCACACAATGACTCCATCAATACAATATCAATAGCAACAACAACAAAATAATCAAACTCAAATTCTCTGAAATTATAAGGACCATGCTTGGCCCCAAAGAAGAGATAGGAGGAGGCCCCACCTTCATTTCTTTGTGGAGGTTGGGGATTCTGAGCGTGGAATACTGGATGTAATGTCAGAATTTTGCAATATAGCTCCCTGAGGGCAGAGACGGTCTTTTGTATCTCCAGTGCTTAGCACAATGCCTGTCACATGTTATTGTTCAGTCATTTCAGTTGTGTTCAACTCTGTGTGACCCCATTTGTAATTTTCCTGGCAAAGATACTGGAGTGGGTTACCATTTCCTTCTCCAGCTCATTTTATAAATGAGGAAACTGAGGCAAACAGGGTTATGAGTGATTTGCCCAGGGTCACACAGTTAATAAGTGTCTGAGGCTAGATTTGAACTCAGGAAGATGATTCTTCCTGACTCCAAGCCGGGCACTTAATATTGTCCCACCTAGCTGCCCTGCTTGGCACATAGAAGGTGCTTAAAAATGTTTATTGATTATTTTTCCAGAAGTGTTTTTCTCCTCCTGATATTCTGTATTATAGGAGATAGCTCTCTGAGGGGGTAAGAGGAGAGAAATACGTTAGGAAACTATAAATGACTTAAAGGATATCAATATATTATTTTTAAAGTTCCTTGATGACCACGTAACACATGGTATCAGATAACTTTCTCAAAATAGTGGAGAATTTGTTACAAAGTGAGATATAAAAACAATGCATTTGCCTGCTAGGTTGTGGGGGGGGGGGGAGAAGGGGATAAACAGTCTCCTTGTTCTTGAAAATGGAGAGATTTGTTTCAACGGTGTGTGTTGATGGAAGGATTCCAACGGAAAAATTCCATTGGAATCATACTGAAAATGGACCTAGTCAAATTAGCAAGGGTTAAGTTTTGGGGGATGAGGGTGGCTGGAGGGTAAAGAGAGAAGAGGGAAAAACTAAATCATAGCATTAGACCATGAAGAAACCTAAAGGTCACCAGGGCCAACCCAGATTCGAAAGCTGACCCCCAGAAAGGTTATTTGCCCAATTATAACATTGGCAGTAGGCAGAAAAACTGGAAGTTGAATCTGGTCCTCTGACTTCAAAACCAGTGATTTTTTTTTTTCCCACATGAGGTAAATACCACTCTTATCCAACAGGCAAGCTAATCCTTCCCTTGGGTTAAGAGCATTTTCCTCGGAATGAAACCAGAATACCATTTTTTCTGCAATTCCTCTTCTTTCTTCACCACTTGCTTTATAGTCCAAAAAGGACGGACTTTATTTGTAAATGGAGTAAGTCTTTGTCTATGTGTTATAAATGATGCTTGAATTTTATTTCACCCACATCTCACACACACACACACACACACACACACACACACACACACAC